TGCTCCGAAAACGTCGGGGGCGACCAGTTTTGGCAAGGCAGCCCCGCACACCGGCCCAGCCTTGGCTGCACACCGGCCCAGCAGGTGCCGAAAGTCCGAAAATTTTCCGACCTGAAAAAAATAATAAAAAATACGAGGACGTAGGAAATTGAATTTGGCACGGTGGTTGTCGGGGCCGTTTGGTCAGATTTCGAGAATTGCTCCGAAAACGTCGGGAGAGACTAGTTTTGGGCAAGGTTGCTAGCACCTTGGCTGGGCCGGTGCCGAAAGTCCGAAAATTTTCCGACCCGAAAAAAATAATAAAAAATACGACCGGCGGCGGCGGCGGTCGGTCGGAAAAAAGAAAAAAAAAAAAAATTTTTTTTTTTTTTTTTTAGTCCCTTTCGGAAGTTGGCTTGGCTTATAAAGAAAGATGCCCGAATAAAGAAAGATGCCTAATAAAGAAGGTTGCTTGTACCGAATAAAGAAGTTGGCTTGACGGTAATGAAGAATCCTTTGCGTGACAAAATAATTTATCTTCTTCTTCTTTTTTCTTCTTCTTCTTCTCCTGTTTTTTCATCATCTTCTTTCTTCTTCTTCTTCTGTTTTTTCATCTTCTTCTTTTCATCTTTTTTTTTCTTCTTCTTTCTTCTTTTTCTCTTTTATTTTTTAGGTGGTTGATGTTCACCCCTTTGTGGATGTTTTATTTTTTGAGTAGGGAGATTATACTCGTTTCTTGAGATGAGATGTGCACCTACTTGGGGTTGAAAGGTAAGGGTGATGCCAACCTTGGGATGGGATAGCCCCCCACTTTAGGATAAGGCACTCGAGACCTATGGTCTGAGGTGGATGCGCACGGTTGTGCCATTGCTTCAGTGGCAACACGAGTTGAAACTTTCGCGATCGTACGCTAAAGGTCCTTATCGGTTATCTGAACCGTTAGAGGAGCAAGTAGAAGTTGATCTTGTTGAAGGTTCGGCGATCATACGCTGAATGTCTTCTTCGGCTAAAAGTGTTGTTTTTTAAATAAATGAATTGGAACTTAATATTTATTAGTATTATCAAAGCGGGTGTTCTTATTTTTCAAATTTATGAAAGCTACTGAAAATTTTCGAAACGTTTTAAAAGTTTAGAATTATAATTTCCGAAATTTCCGTAACTTTTGAAATCATAATGAATTTCTAGATTCCGAAAATTTAAATTATAAATTGGAATTTATTCCGATACATTCCATCCGACTTTCACATCTACTTGACCTAACTGACCTAACTAACTCTTTTAAAAGGTAAAATTTGAGATTAATTTAACCTTCTTCTACTTCACCTTTAAAGACAGAGAGAATATATGCCAAGAATATCTCCCAACCACATGGTTATGCATACCTTCAAGAGTCTATAAGAAAGACCCCATCTATACAAAATCTCCTTTTCGACTTTCCATATACCGGGGTTGGATAAAATTTCGCTGTTTCACGAAATTTGTTTGCTACATTTTGATTGGTTTCTGCCATTGAGTTTTTTGAAGATGCTATATCTGTACTAAAAGTAATCATAATGAGCAGCCTAAACACAATCATTTGACATTTGCAGATATTGACACAAGACAGAAAATAGAGCACTAAGAACCAGTAAAGAGAAGAGCCATTAGAAGAACATATAATTATAGAAATACACACACACACACACACACGTATACGACATAGTTTTTACAGAAAATTCTGATGCCTAAATTTCAATTTATATGACCGAGATAAAAATTACCTGAAATGAAATACTATTCCTTCTCTTTGTAAGATAGGAAATATTTCTTCAATTTTATGGAGTTCTTTGTCTCCACAAATCCAAAGTTGGAAAAACCGTACTACTCTTTCTGTCATTCGTTGATTAATAAAAGAAATTGGATGCCGGCTTCTGCTTGTTTGTTGCTCTTCACTCGAATTTGTGAAGGAATTTATACATGAGCGAAGCAAGAAACGGTGGAAAAGAGGAAAAAATAGAGGAAACAAAAAATCAAACCGTCGTCGAGAAGAAAAACATAGGGGATTGAGAAAAAAATATTGCAAAAAAAATCTTGTGAGAGGTTACACAGATACAGTTGGGGAGGAGATGGGGATACAATCATACAAACGTATTTTATTTTTTTGCCAAATAATCCTAGGACTATCAAAAAATTCTAAATTTGTCATAGAGTATTGAAACCCTAAAGCGCCACGTGTCAACATATTACGCTATAGATGGTCTTTATATATATAAAAATAGATTATTTTTTAACTACTTATATATAATTAAAAATAAAACTATATAAAAACTCGATTGAACCGGTCCAATCGTAGCCCGTTGATTGTCCGGTTCTATGTACGGTCCAATTTTAAAACCATTCGTAAAAGAGTCTAGACTCAGACTAATGGCATTGAGATGGCGAGACGTGCATGGCATTTTGGTTACTGGGTTTTTTCTTTCTTTTTTCCTTTTTCATTTTTCTCAAATAACAATTGTTTTCCCTTGTTAAACATAATCTCACTTAGAGTCCATTTGGTAGGCCTTGTATAAGATATTTTATAAGCTCCTATATTTGATAAGATATTTTAAGAGTTGATATGCTGTTAAATTTTATAATTATATTTTAAGGTATTTAGATAATCGAAACATCTGAACAACCTATAATCCAAACACATGAACAACCTATATTTTAGGAGTTGATAAACTGTTAGATCTTATAATTATTTAAATAAGTTACATTTAGATTTTGGGGCAATTTACTATAGGTCCCTTTATATTATAATTTATGTGTGTAGATTCAAGTCAAAATTTCCATATATTAATAAATTAATAATATTTAATATCCTTAGTTAAAATCAAATCAAATCCCAAAAAATCTCTATATCAAAACAAATTCTCAGAAATCTCTCTTCCAAATATTAACTAAAAAAATAAATTAATTCATAAAAAAATATACAATTTATTTTACAAATTCATATTCTAAAAATGCTATCGATGACTCCGGGAACTGTGAAGCTTCCCGTGCCGCCTACGACTCTATGCACTGCAAATATCAAACTGAAAATTAGATTTTTATATTATTGAATTGCAAACAACGAAATACCTATGGTTTCGTCCAATGCAAACAACAAACTTAAAAAAAAATCCAGAATTTGCGTTATTAAATTGCAAACAAAAAATTACATATGATTTCGCCAAATGCTAAGAACAAACTCAAGAAAAAAATTCACATTATTGAATTGCAAGCAATAAACTACATATGGCTTCGCCAAATGCAAACAACAAACTGAAAAAAAATAACCATCATTATTAAAAACACCAACAAAAAAAAAAGTTTATGGAACACGTTGCAAACAGCAAAAATATTAAACAAAGTGTTTGTAAAATGTAACTTAAGACATACCTTGCAAATTGTAAGCCAGACGAACCAAATCTCAACAACAAACGCAATTCTTCAAACAACAAATGAAGTTAAACCAACCTGCAAACGGAAATTGTTAACAACAAACGATGGGAATGTTCTACATACGGGAGACACAATGCGAATTTTGGATTTTTGAATTTTTTTTAGAAGAGGGGAGGGGATGTTTGTTGTCTTCTTTAATTCTTTCACCAAGAAATCATCTCATAATCTAAAAACATCCTTGTTTTTTCCTTCTCTACAGTATTTCTTAATAAAAAAAGAAAAGAAAAAAAAAAACAGAGAAGAACAAGAGAAAGAGAGAGGCGTGAGATATAGTGGGAGAGAGATTAGGGATTAAGGGCCCGTTTGATAGGTGCTTAATGACCTCTGAATGGAAAAAAAAAACTGATTCGGTCAGCAACATACTGTTAAGACTTAAGAGTGTTTGGTAAGGTAGTCTGAATAAAGCCATTAATTGCTGGCCGATTCAGCCCAAATAATTGGGCTTATTCATTCAGCATTATGCTGAATGGATTTTAGACTATTTTGTCCTTGTTGTGCACACAGTGTTTGAACCACCTTTTTCTTCAATTCTTCCTTAAATAATTTACTGTTTACTAATGGGTGAATCAAGCTATTCCCCGTGTAGACAATTCATTGAATTTTAGGCTGCATTTTTTTCCATGTAGTTACTAATTTACTTTTTTGTTTTTTCTTGAAAATATATATAAGTTGAAAGAATGCTTAATTTCTTGACAAATACATTGTTTATCATAAAATAATGGATATTAAGATGCAGTATTTTTTAATATATAATTTCTAAGAAAGTATAAGATTGGTTAATTATTATAAAGTAAATTTTCATTTCTCTCTCTGTTACATATTTAATGAAAACCTATGGCCATAGATTTATATTCTTTATATACGTATTTCATAGTAAGAATATAATCTAATATATTTTAAAGCACAATTCATAATCCAAAAAGAAAAAGCACAATTCAAAATAAGTATATTAATATATCCACTTAAATATTATTGATAATTAAATTAATAAAATCAAATTGAATTATTTTGAAGGACAATATAGTAAAATAACAACATTCAGATATAAAAATAATACAATTACCAAACAAACTTAAATATTCAGCATTCAGTATTCAGACACCGCTCTTAATCGTTTTGATGACTATTCAGCATTCAGTGTTTAGTGCTTAATTTTATCAAACGGAGCCTAAATATAGGGTGAGAGAAACGTGAAATTGTGGATAGAAGATATATGACATTTGTTTTCTTATTAATTGAGGATGTTTATGTCTATATACTAATTATTTTATTTTATTTATATTTTTTTTTCAAAGGACCTATGTCTATATTCATCTATCAACTAGAATCTCTACCTATATAAGTCCAAAATAAGGGGTGTCTAGCAAATTTGGTAATACGCAAAAATTTCGGAGCGGGTCAAATAATCATCCTTAATTACATAATTTGACTTTGTTATGAAAATGTAAGAAAAAAAATAGTTTCTGAGCAACTCTGGACTAGTAATCCAGTGGGCCTGGTAAGTTTGTGGCCCAATTTACTGTAAAAGAAATGGGTTTCTCCGATGTAAAATAAAATACACTATCTCCCTGTCGTAGAAAGTTAAGCAGAGAACGAGAAAGAAGAAGCAGTGCTCATCATCGACGGCATCAATTCAATTCTGCTTTCTGTAAGTCTGTTACACTCACATAGATTTCAAGCTGTACCGTTTTCTCTCTTTTTTTTTTTTTTGGTTCACGGTAATTTATAGTTATACGATATATTCAGTATATAACATCCATTAAAATATTTGCGTTAATCATACCGACGCGTGACTGATAATTTACATCACACATGGTCCGGATAGGCAATGATACTTGAAATCAATCAAATGTCTTACGACCTTACCGAATTGGTTGGTAAAACTGATAATTTAATTATAATTAATTTTGAGCCATAATTAGCATATACTACTTGTCAATCTTTTTATGAACCTTTTTTGCACAGAGAGAGAGAGATTTAAATTACTGATTTATTTGTTCCAGTCGGTTAATTTTAGCTTTAAATTACTAGGTCCAGATTGTGAAAGCTCTAGCATTTTGCATGTCTACCTTTTACCTTTTTTTATTGGAGCAGTGGTTTCAATAGCTAATTGAAATACCTTTGTGATGCACAATTTTATTTATTTTTCTTTTTCTTGAAACTAATGTTGGCACTGTTGATTGCTTTGAATTAACAGTAGAATTATCTTCCGTTGGATTTTAAGAAAGATGGCAACGTTTGCTAGACCTGAGAATGCTTTGAAGCGAGCTGAAGGTATTATGTGTTCAATTATTTTCCTGTCTTCTCTCATCAGTTATTAGTCCTGCCCTTTTACTATCTACAGTTTCAACTCTTTTCTGCCTTTTTGTCATTATTTTTTATTGATAATAAGTTTTTTAAAATAGTCATCAACACTTAATTAATTTCTCACGACACACACTTAAGATTTGCACTCAGTTTATGATTCCTCGTATCACAATCAGGGATCCAATAAGGCCACATGTCGTTTCTGAAATATTCTTCATAGTAGTGAAAACCCCTCATTCCTCCTTGTGCATCTGAACCTGTTAGGTAAATGTAACTCGTTGTTCAAACTAAGACTCCCAATTGAATATGTACGAGTATTCTCAATTGAATCAAGGGATACTGTAGCATGAGTTCGTTACTCTAATATCTTATGTACTGAAATATAATATTCTTCTCGTTCTCATTTCTTATATATATGTGTGTGTGTGTGTTGATGCAGAGTTGATCAATGTTGGACAAAAGCAAGAAGCGCTCGAGACTCTTCATAGTTTTATTACCTCAAGGAGGTATAGAGCTTGGACAAGAACACATGAGAAGATAATGTTCAAGTACGTGGAGTTATGCGTCGACATGAGGAGGGGAAGGCATGCAAAGGATGGTCTTATCCAATACCGTGGTATTTGCCAACAAGTTAATATTACTTCACTAGAGGAGGTGATTAAACATTTCATGCAGTTGGCCACCGAGAAAGCTGAGCTTGCACGTAGTCAAGCGCAGGCCTTGGAGGAGGCTCTCGATGTAGATGATTTGGAAGCAGATAAACGGCCTGAAGATTTGATGTTGAGTTATGTCAGTGGGGAGAAAGGTAAAGATAGATCTGATCGTGAGCTTGTAACTCCGTGGTTTAAGTTCTTGTGGGAAACATACCGAACTGTTTTGGAAATTTTACGCAACAACTCAAGATTGGAAGCCTTGTATGCGGTAATTTTTCCTCTGTATATTCATTAACTTCGCAATGTCCTGCCTCTGAAGTATTACTGGACTAATATTTTTTTTTTGATCTTTCTATATGTTTAAGCTAGTTGCTATTACGATTCCTGAAGCAAATTTGTCTAGCATTTGATACTTCAAATTACTTATTTGAACAAAAACATTGGTACTACAAATTGATCTGTGTCCTAGTTCAGCTACACTCTATAGGACAACGGATAATGCGTTTTATTAGGTAACCAGGATCAGAATTTTTTATTTTTGCGTTCTATTTCTCTCTTTGAACTACATAAATATATTTTTAATTAAGTTCTTCTGCATTTACTCGACCCTGATATGTCTAAAATTACTTGGAAATATTTGCCTGTTGGTATGGACCTTTCGTGGTTTATCTGACCACCTAAATTTTAGTCGGTATTGTGTCTATTTTTTTTGTGTACAAGTGTGCAATTGTGTCATGCTACAGACCAGAATAATTTTTATTCAATGCCGGGTATAAAGTTTCAAATTATTTAAGGATACATGTCTACTGTGATGTACATCTCCTCGTTTTATGGTGTATGTCTACATGGTATTAGTGCATATCCTGATAAATACATGTTAAACTCTTTTGTCATTTAATTGTTATTATGCATCCATCAAAAGATATCACTATTCTCGGGCGAACAAACATTGCTTCTCTGTGGGATTCATCTTCAAAATATTGCCACTAGATCACGTGTCTTAATTTTTGTTTATAATGTTATTAGGTGCTTCCTTTCATTTGCATTATTGATACTGATATCTATCAGTTATTTTGCAAATGTCTTTATTATTTTAATCAGTTTTAGAAATTTCAATACCTTGTTCGTTCGGTTATGAAAGTGTTTAGTTTGTCAACATCAAGGAAATTCCTGCTATTTTGATTTATATTCAAATGGGATCATATTGAGCTTCTTATCTTAAATATCCAGATGACTGCACATCGTGCCTTCCAATTCTGCAAGCAATACAAACGAACTACAGAATTTCGGAGATTGTGTGAAATAATAAGAAATCACCTTGCAAATCTTAACAAGTACAGAGACCAACGAGATAGGCCTGACCTTGCTGCTCCTGAAAGCCTGCAGTTGTATCTCGACACAAGATTCGAGCAGCTGAAAGTTTCTACCGAACTTGAACTTTGGCAGGTTTCTTCAGTTGACTGTTGTTGTAATCATCGTTGCATACGAGCAATTGGGTTCTAATAACTTAAGTCAATGACTTCTCGTTTTCTCTAAGCCTTTGTTGCTTTCTGTTTTGCAGGAGGCCTTTCGTTCAATTGAGGATATACATGGGTTGATGTGCATGGTTAAAAAAACACCTAAACCTTCCTTAATGGTTGTTTACTATTCTAAGCTTTCCCAGATATTCTGGATGTCGTCCAACCATCTTTATCATGCTTATGCATGGCTTAAGCTTTTCTCACTTCAGAAAAGCTTCAATAAGAACCTAAACCAGAAAGATTTGCAGTTGATTGCATCATCTGTTGTTTTAGCTGCACTTTCTGTACCCCCTTATGATCGCTCATATGGCGCATCTCATTTGGAGCTCGAAAATGAAAAAGAACGAAGTGGCAGAGTTGCAAACCTTATTGCATTTGATGTTGAATCCAAACCTGAGAACAGAGAAATGGTAAGTAAGTGCTTTTGGCTGAATCTTTTTCTTCATATTTTTTATTTTTTTTCGTTGGTTTTGTAACTGATCCTTATATTTATTTTTTTCAGCTTTCCAGGTCATCACTTCTCTTGGATTTGGTAAGCAACAATTTCAGTTGATTTAACATTATTAGCTGCTGTCCTCTATGATTCTGAAGGGATTCTTGTAAATTCAAGAATCTCACTTAATCAGCTCTACTGGCATGGAAGAAAATGAAGAAACTCGTGCCTTCCTAGAACAATAGATTTGCTTTGGTTATTTCACTAATATGTCCTTTTATTCTGAATTCTGTTTCTTTGATCCAATTTTGTTTAGGTGTCAAAAGGCATAATGAACTGCGTGACTCAGGAAGTGAAGGATCTTTACCATATTTTGGAACATGAATTTCTCCCTTTAGACCTGGCTCTAAAAGTACAGTCCCTCTTAACAAAAATTTCTAAGCTCGGAGGTAAACTTGCTTCTGCTTCTTCTGTCCCAGAAGTACAGCTGTCTCAGTATGTTCCTTCCTTGGAGAAGCTTGCTGCTCTTAGGTTGCTGCAATGGGTACATACGTGCTACCACCTACCACCAGTTTTCAAGTTGATTCTTTTTCGTTGATTTGGCCTTACATGTTTCGTAATTTGACATTATGCTTATTTCCTTTATAAACCAGGTCTCCCAGGTGTATCAGACAATGAATATTGACAACCTATCAAGGATAATCCCTTTCTTTGATTTTCCAACTGTTGAGAAGATCTCTGTAGATGCAGTCAAGAATAATTTTCTAGCAATGAAAGTGGATTACAAGAAGGGTGCTGTTTTCTTTGGTAATAAGGTAACAATTTTATTGTTGACCCTCATATTTTGTTTCAAAAAACCTTGGCCTACAATCCAATAATTGTTAGTCAGCATTGAAGGTGCTGAATCTAATTGTGTGCCAAATTTATTTATTCTACGTAAACTCTTTCTGTGCCAAACACATACTCCTTCCAATTTTGGAATGTCTCATACTCTTTAAATTGTAAATTTCTTGCTAAATCTATTTTGTAAGTGAGGGTAATTATGCTGTAAAACGAGGCATTAATCTCGTTTAGAAATGTTTTTAGCTCATGGCTGCAATGTATATGCCTCTTTGGAGGCTGGATTGAAGAAATTTTTAACACCTGTCTTTTGTATTATTATTATTTATCTTCATAATTTTGTTGTATTTTCCTTTGGCATTCTGGAAATTCATTAAATGGCACATCTTATGTTCAACTTAGTTATATATGTTTTCCCTTTTCACCACAGAGTCTTGAATCAGAAGGCCTAAGGGATCACCTCTCCACGTTTGCTGAATCCCTCGGCAAAGCAAGGGGCATGATCTACCCTCCTATAAATAGAATTTCAAAGCTAGGGGAAACACTTCCAGATTTAGTGGAAGTTGTTGAAATAGAGCACAAGAGACTCCTTGCACGCAAATCGATAATCGAAAAGCGCAAAGAAGAACAAGAACGTCAGCTTTTGGAGATGGTATGCCATTTTAATCCTGGATAAGAGGATCACTTGTGTTGAATTTTGTTTCTTGTAAATCTTTCGTGAAATGGGATTTCTGAGTTACTAATATTTGGCTTGTGAATATGCAAGGAACGAGAGGAGGAGGCGAAGAGGCTAAAATTACAGAAAATAACTGAAGAGGCAGAACAGAGAAGGCTTGCCACTGAATTTGAGCAAATGAAGAATCAAAGAATTCTAAGGGAAATAGAGGAGCGTGAGCTTGAGGAAGCTCATGCTTTGCTGCAAGAAGCTGAAAAACGCAGCAAAAAGAAAGGGAAAAAACCTGTCTTAGATGGAGTGAGTTGACTTCTACCGCCAGTTAGATTACTTCATTCTTTTGCTGAATCTGAACCTCATTTAGTTGAATTAACAATATTGTAATTTGGATTCAGGAGAAAATAACGAGGCAGACTCTGATGGAGCTAGCACTTAGCGAGCAGCTTAGGGAGAAGCAAGAAATGGAGAAAAAATTACAGAAGCTTGGCAAGACTATGGATTACTTGGAGAGGGCAAAAAGAGAAGAAGCAGCCCCACTTATTGAAGCTGTATTCCAACAGCGTTTAGCGGAAGAAGAGGCTCTACACGGACTTGAGCAGCAGGTCTGAAATCGTGATCATCTCTTTTTTGGGCTGGAAATTTAATATACAACTTTTGGCCGGCTGATTGTATGTCCGTGCTTAGTTATAAATTGACGAATATATTTTCTTCTTATCTTGATACAGCAAGAGATTGATGTAAGCAGGCAACGACATGCTGGAGACCTAGAGGAAAAAAGGAGACTTGGCCGAATGTTGGAGAACAAGGTATTTTCACTTTTTCTGAGAGAACACCGTGAGAGAGTAGTTAGAGCAAGATAAGGATTATGGATGTTTGTTAGTTGTTCTGGTACTGATAGACCTGACAAGATTTTTAAATTGGGTTTTACGGATTATAAAAAAAATTTAGCTTTTAGTTAAGTTGATTACTTAGTTACCACTTCCTTCTAGGATTATCTTTGTTGTAGAAGATTGAAATGATTTTTTTTTTTCTGCTGAATGAAGCTGTCGATATGGGAGTGTTTGTACACCTACGAATCTTATTCTTCTTGTATTGCTGAATGGAGCTATTAATGAACTATATTCCTATCTGTTTGATTTTGTGCAGAACATTTTCCAAGAAAGAGTGCTGAGTCGTAGAAGAGCTGAATACGACAGGCTTAGGGAAGAGAGAGAAGAGAGAATCAACCAAATTGTAGAGTCACGGAGACCGGAAAGGGAGACTAAGAGAAAAATGATATTTCATCTGCGGTCTGAAGAGGAGAAGCAGAAAAAAAAGCATCAAGAGGAGGAAGCACGGAAGCTTGAAGGTAATAAATATACTATCCTATCTTTTTATTAACAGAACATTTTTTTTATGTGTGTGCTATTCACTTTCAAGAAGATATAAATCATCACATCTTGTAGAAAATTATATAGTTGAATTGTAGTCTGTTCTTTGTTGAAGATATGTGGCTTTCCTGGTTCGTTAGTTGTTTTGCTCATGTAAAAACAGCTCGGTTATTTCTATTTTCATTTGCCTTTATGGGGGTGGGTGTTGGTTGGGTGAAAGATTGTATGGTGCATGAGGGCCACAAAGCAACATGACTTTCCTTGGAACGAAAATCAGAGAGTTGGTTGAATGATTTGGGTTCAAATGTATTACATTAATGGATATGATGATAATTTTTGCAGAGATGGAGAGGAGAAAGAAAGAGGAAGCTGAAAAAAGGGCGAAGCTGGATGAAATAGCTGAAAAGCAGAGGCAGCGGGAGAGGGAGTTGGAGGAGAAGTGGAGGAATCAGGTGTCGGTGAGAGCGGCACCTCCCTCCGCTGCACCTGCACCTGCACCTGCAACTCCTTCTGCTGCACCTGCACCTGCACCTGCAGCTGCACCAACGACTGGTAAGTACGTGCCAAGGTTCAAAAGAATGGCCACCGGTGAGTCTCAAGCCGCCCCAACACCGCAGCGTCCTACTGAAACAGACAGGTGGTCTGGTGGTGATCGAACAGCTCCTCCATCCACTGGTGGTGATCGTTGGCGAGATGAGCGCAGCAGACCCACTGCCGCCGCCCCAAAGTCCACCACTTGGCAATCCTCTCGCGAACGCGGCCCCCGTTAAGTTTGTCTCGAGGATTGAGACTATTGGAAATATATTTTTTATTTTTACTTGTTAAATATAAAATGATGTTTGCTCTCAGACCGTCATGTATTTATGATGCGACGAGACGAGACAAGACAAGATGTAAATGTGCCTATTGCTGCTCTACTTTCGACCATGGGATCGGGTTTTTTTTTTTTTTTTTTTGGCCGTCTGTGAATTCTATTTATTATACTATTCAGGAAGTGAGTGACTAATACTTCCACTTGTGACTCTGGTGTTGATAATAATATCTTTGGACATGAACCAATTTTCCTTCTCCTCTGTAGCTTCTGTTGTTTGTTGATTTTGACTGTGTAACGGTTAGTTTCCTACGACACCGGTTTTCATGTCGATCATTTATATAATGAAACAAGAAACAAATCCTGATGTTTGCAGCCTCATTTTATAAGGTATAATTCCATCCTTGAATACACCACAAGTGTATGATTTGTGCATTATTCTCATTTATGTAGTTCAAAAACATTTAAAAAGGACTAGAATAATAAATTCACACATTTTTTTTATGCATAGATAAAACCTAGAAACTTGTAAGAAATAGGGAGAAACTTAAAAGCAAAACTAAAACACATAAAAACTTTGATTAGAGTGCAAGTTTGGGCGCATTGATACCCAAACAAAACGAAAAAAAAAAAAAAAGGAATAATAATAATAAGTTGGGAGGTTGACACAGAAAGCCCACCTCACATTACATAAAACTGTTTTTTCTTGAAATTTGGTAATAAATATGTTTGTTCTTTTTCGCTTTGTCCCAATAATTTAAGTATTAAGAGTGCTCTAGTCCAGCTGTCTATTAAATTGGTCAAGAGTATTTTTTTTCTATTTCTTAGTAATATATTCATTCACCAGCAGAGCAGTGCAGAGAGCAGAGCAGTATCTCCTTCCTTCTTATATTACTGCTACTTCCTTCACTTTGATACTATCATCATTACATTACATTACTCTCTCTCTCTCTCCCCATTTCACTTATATTGCAGTTTCTCTCTCTGGATCAGGATCAGGATCAGGTGCGTTGAGTTTCTACTCTCTCTCTCTCTCTCTCTACATTCCATTTCATTCCTTCCAGTTGGTTTATGTTCATTTATCATATAGATCTACTTTAATACCTAGTTAATTGCAAGTAATTAATGTAGATCTGCACCACAAGTAGTTATATTTGAGCAATGCTCACACATGCATGTTTTTTTTTTTTTTTTTTCTTTTCTTCTTTCCAGATACTCTAGAAAAGAAGTATTAGTTAATTGTTGTGTACATTGATCTCATGATATCAGCTTGTTAAGCAAGATCTGGTGTTTGAGCATTTGGGATTTTGTGTTTATGAAATTGTGAATCCAATTATTTATCAGATCTGATTAAGCTCAATTTAATATGAACAGTAGTACCAGTCCGGAGTAGGAGGGTGGTGCATCTGAAAAAAAGATGAAAATGAATTTGATGGTGGTAGTGTTGGTATCATTTATTTTCGGAGCATCATCAGCGGCGGCGGCAACTAGTGTTGCAGAAACTCCTTCGCCGGCGCCAGCACCGTCGGCGCCGGAGTATGTGAACCTGACACAGTTGCTGTCGGTGGCAGGTCCATTCAGTACATTCCTCAACTATCTCCAGACAACAAAACTTATCGACACCTTCCAAAACCAAGCCAACAACACCGAAGAAGGAATCACAATCTTCGTACCGAAGGATCAAGCCTTCTCGAAGCCCAGAGCTTCTCTCGTAAATCTGACCCAAGAACAGCTCAAGAATCTAATTCTCTTCCACGCATTGCCACATTACTACACTCTCTCGGATTTCAAGAATCTCAGCCACCAGAACCCAATCATCACCTTTGCCGGCGGCCCTTTTTCATTGAATTTCACCGACAACTCGGGCACCATACGGATCGATTCTGGATGGACTAGCACCAAGATCACAAGTGCAGTTCACGCAGCTGATCCAGTTGCAATTTACGAGATCGATAAAGTACTATTGCCTGAAGCTATATTCGGAACCGACATACCCCCTACTCCGGCTCCAGCACCCGCTCCTGAAACTCCCGATGCAGATACGAAAGGGGGAAGTGATGATTCTTCTCTGTCACCGAAAGCTTCTGCTGGAAAGTCGACTTCTAACTCTCACAAAGTAATGTTGAATTTGGGTGTGCTCGCGTCCGCGGTGCCCTTTTTGTCGTTGTTGTTGTTGTGGTGAGAACTGATGTGAAGGCGCGGCGCTACGCTACGCTACCGGACCTTTTAATTTATTTTAAATGTCACCACACCACATCAATATTATTCTACATCCATAAATTGTTGTTGTTTTTAAAAAAAGATTTCTTCATTTCACAATAGCTATTCTTTTTGTTACCCATCCACAATTTTCAACAAGGCTGTCTGTGCCAGCTCTCCTTAGATGTATATGCTTTGGAAGCTTACAAAAAAGGATGTAATAAAATATATATGCTGTATGTATTCATTATTCATCTCATCTTCATTTAAGAATTATTATTATTATTTTTTTTCTTAGCAAAAACGAACTAGTTGTTGGAGTAAGAGGACGCTGAGTCATTTGATCCGAGTTCCAACTCCTTCATGAATACTAATTTGTAAGACCAGTTAATCATACATTGTTAGTCTAGTGTGATTTACATCCTGTATGCGATTTGCAACATATTGTAAGTGGACAATGTTCTTAGAATGACTCCAAATTCTCATAAAAAAATTAAATTAGCATAACAACAAAATTGTCGGTCGAAAAATTCGCACAACAACAATATTACTATATTAGTCTAATCACTATGGTTGCACCATCAATCATGTGGCCAACCATGGAATCACTATGAATGATTGAACCACTTATTTAGACATAATGGATATATTTTTTTTCCATAGTCCAAAAAAACAAATTACGGTCGATGTTCAACCATCCTGTGTGAACCTTTCCTCTTATTGTATCTATTATTATTTATTATGAATAAATAAATCAATTTATTTTATTTTATTTGAGAGTGTGCACGAACAATCATATTTGTATTCTATATTTGATTATTAACACACAAGATTAAATCGTTAGTTCTTATAAGATACTATAATTTATGGTTAACAATTTATATAGAAATGGACATACAATAAAAATAATTGTAACACAATATATTAGTAGGTATATCTTGACTTAGATGAAATAATATATTATGTTACTATATTCGCAACTCATTTCGGATTTCGTGTTTCGGGTTCAGTACATACAAAGTCTGTCGTCCCATGGTGAAGTTGAAGGCGCAATTTTGGAAAAAAAATAGAAAAAGAAAAAACTATTTTAGAAGTGATAGAGTTGGAGGACCAACTTTCACTCAAGAGGCAAAATTCACTAATCAAGCAAATATGCATATATCCACAACATATATTTACAGCTATATATTTACTCTACTAGTTTACCACTTTGGCCCAGCCAATGTTATACTATACATAATACAACCTTGTATTTCTTTCTTTTTTATAAAATGTCTATTATTACTTGCTGCAGTAATCCAATGATTTTCAGCACAAAACCGAAAAAAATAAAAAAATCATTAATTTTCATCACCATTTTCATGAAGGGAGTTTAGTCGTCTTAATCTCTGATCAAGCTCCGCCATGACTGCCGGTTCTTGCTTTTTCCTTTGCTTTGATATAGTGGTGGTCGTCGTAAACCCTATCTTGTCAAAGGCAACCTACGAAACCCATTTATTTAGCAAAATAAAATCATTACTTAGTCCAATGAAAAATGAGATTAAACCATTTTCACTAAGTAAAGATGACGAAAGATCATTCATCCATCGTAAAGCAATACGTATAACAAGGAGGAGGTACCGTTAATAATTCGTCGGGATCAAATAGGTGATGAGTAGTTTTCTGTATTACATTGATCACATCACCAACCTGATGTGTCACAAGCAGCTCTTCTTCGTTCATCTGCAGTCATTAATTTTTTTTTTTTTTTTACAAAATTAGTATTACAACAAAACCATAAATACCTTTTTTTATTGATGATTTCACATGTATGTATCTTACCTTAAAAATTGCTAATGCTACATTGAATAAAACATTTGCCCCTTCATAGAAAAGTATGTCCCACACACGCAAAGTCGTCTGTTGAAATAAACAAAATAATGAAAATTGTCAATTTTAACTATTACGATCAAGGTGTGTAAATCAATACATAGATAATAAATCGAAAGTAAGTATATAAATATTTATACCTCAGAAGGCAAACTTTTAGAAAATAGGCATAAAAACCACTCTGTGCAAACAAGAGAAACATCAAAGTCTATGCCTTCCAAATGAGTAGCTATCCTGAAAAGCGATACTTTTTTTCTTCAGTGTAATGTAAAAGAAATAAAGCTATTTGAACCGCCACATCATCAAAACAAAAATAAAATAAAAATGGAGAGATAGACAACCTCGGACACTTCTTGGCTAGCAAATCTCGGAATACTCTTTGATCCACATGACATCCAGATAAATTGTATGTGTAACAATCATTAAATAGCACATTTTCTAATAGCACAGCGAGCATCCAAAACGCGTCTTCTTCCGTTTTCATTACAAGCAACAACAATGCTGCGACGTAATTTAGACCCTGCACAACAAGGAAATCGTCACAAAGGAAAAAATAAAATAAAATTGACTTAATTAACAAATACAAAGGTATTGTTTGAGTAGAGAAAGACAATTAATTACCTGACAATATCCAACATCAGAATCTCTGAAAGAATAGGCAACAAGAACCCGCCGAAGTGCAGAATGCCCATCTGAAGTGTCCAACCACGGGTGACCAGGGAAAGTTCGAGGAAGATCCTGGACCCACATTATATTTAAAAAATGTTTAAAGGTATGCATTTACGACGACTGACTGGTTGAGAAATACACTCTTCGGTTTGTCTATTGTTCTAAGATTAACTACAATAGATGAACTTATTTTGAGGATGAAAATGTATAAATGTTAACAAGGTAAGGGGAAACAACTTATTTCATGAAACTCTCAATTGTAACCATTTCAATTTGAAGTTGCAACTCCATGTAAATTAATTTTCATACATACAACAAAATATCCGAGTCTTATCAGCAACTAATATTATTAAATCAAGTGATTCGCCAGGCAATAAGAACAAACAAATAATGCTTCAACTAATTCATAAAGAAAGAAACATACTTGGTCAATCTGCTTGGTAGCAGGGGTAACCATATCGAAAACAGCAGAGGTCATATCATTGTAATAACTGTCGGGGACGGTGGATTTCTTCTTAGCGGCACCGGATAAAGAAAACCAGACTTTCGGCCGGAAATTAAGAGGGATTCCTTTCTTGATAAGCCTCTTGAGGGTGATGGCATTCACCAATGCAGAGAATTTGAGAGAAGACTTAAGTGTTGAAGAGACATGTGTCTCTAAATACCAATTGACACCTTTGTTTGCTTCTAAAGCCCACCAAACCCTACATTGTTGCCTCAACTTCTCTCTAACCTCATTCAACACATTCACATCATCAACATTCCCTTCAACTGTGAAACCATGGACATCTTGGAATTTCACTGTCATGTTTGCTCTTCTTGCACGGATACTTGGTCTTAGTATTGATATTTGTGCCTGGTATTCCAAGCTCATCTCTCTTTTGCTCTGGTGGGTCCCACTTCCCCCTCCATACATCTTTTTTTTTTTTTTTTTTTTCTTTTCTTGAATGAATACAATTAATTACCGGCCAGAGACCCCAGAGCAAGAGATGAATATGGAATCAAACATATAAATACTAATTAAAGAAAGAGATCCCAAAAGTTTGAAGAATTGAGAGGAAATAAGAAAAAAAAACAGAAAAAGAATTGAAGGATCAAAAGGAACCCTTCATAGGAAAATCCATACAAATAAATAGAAAAAAACAGCGGAGCTTAAGGAATCTGGACAAATATTTGAAAAAAGTTTGGATTTTTGGCCAGATGATGAAAAGTAACGGTATTATTATTGAGTATATCTTCCTAAAAATAGAAGACAAAAGCAAATGAACAAAGAGACCGATCGAAGGAGGAAAATTAGGTAAAGAAATGTGTGTGAAAGTGAGGCATAAAACAAATGATGAAAAGAAGAAAAGGGAGGTGAAGAAGAGAAAACGGAAATGGACGGAGGTAGTCAAATATATGTATTTACATCCAACATCTGTTGTGCTAATAATCTTCACATACTAATTAATATGACATCAGATATTAAACTACTATTAGCCATTGAATATCAAAGTTAATGAATTATGTTTGTTGGGTGTTTTAATTTTAAAAAAAATGACCAAAATTTAATTATTTTCTTTAAACTTATTATGATCCTCCTCCATTAACACTTTTTTGTACATTTGTAACTTACAAATGATTTTTATGATTTTAATGACTTTGCCTATTTTATGTATGAAATGGTCATGTTTTGATACTATATAAAGAGGATGAGGTCTTGTGTTTTTAAATAGTTGAGAAGGCATAAGTGCAAATATACACTTTTCTAAGTTCTCTATTTATTTATACATATCCCCTTTATAATACTTTGTTAAGTGTTCGGTGTAGCTTTTACTTCACTAATAGTGCAATATTGGCTGAAAACATTATTTGTGATGTATCCGACAGGCGACACGACCGTTTATTATTGCACAAGCACAATCAAAGGGGTTCGTGAAGTTCTCGTCTTAGAGAAAGTGAAATCTTTGCGTGCCTCGGCCACCAAAATGATATGATTAAACCGTCAAAACTGCAGCAGTTGAATTCCAACAATTTTAAGATGAATTTGGATCTTTGGAAATTAGCTTGATGATGATCCAAAAGAAGCGAAGAAAAAGAATGTGACATGATATATATTTTAATTGACGAAAATTTAATAAACAATCTTACTTTTCTTGCACATGTTGCATAGTTCACGAGTCGTATGAAAATCAACAATCTTAATTTAATCAACATTGCCAGAAAAAAGAAAAAAAACATCTATATCGATCTGCGGCGATCGCTCTAAATTGATGAATTAGTGAAATTGAGATTGAATAAAAGTCTCAAGTTATGAATTGAGTGACCTTTGAATGATTAGGTTGACAAAAAAGTTATTTGTACTCATGTCAATTAAATTATTAACCAATGAGGTTTTTCGCATAATGAAAACGGGAAATTTGTCAAAAGTTACAAATAAAAAGAGGAAATATTGGAGAAAAATATTTGGGTCTACTTCTTATCATTAACCGTGTGTCTAAAACGACGTTTTTCGACATTATTTCTAAAACCCAATCACAAATCTCGACGAGGTATTATAAATTCATTTTCCATGCTGGTCGGTATACTCTCATTAATCACGTTCTTAATACTCTTCCGAATTATACCATGAACTCTTTTAAATTACCGGACGTCACTATTAATAAATTAAACTCTATAATTTTTTTTTTTTTGTGGAACTCCTCACCCAACTCTAATAGGAAAAGCCTCGTCTCCTGAAACACTATTTTTCAACCAAAAATTTATGGAGGACTTGGCATTAAAAATCTTAAAGTCCTTAATAAAGCTTTCCTCTTAAAACTAGGATGGAGGCTTCTTACAGATCAAACCTCCATTTGGGTCCATCTTATGAAAAGTAAGTATTTCCCCCACACTAATTCTTGAATGCCCCCAAACCAAAAGGATACAATAGTGGCATATGAAAGAATATACACAAAACTATCAAGAATATCACAAAATGTAGATTTTGGGTACTTGGGAATGCTCTAATAGAATCAACTTTTGGTTTGATAAATGAATTGGAAATTTTACCATCGCGGAATACACTCCTAGTATTCCTCACGAGCTCAATAACCTTAAAGTCTCATGTCTCGTCAATCCTCATACTATATCTTGGAATATATCTCATATAAAAAATAACGTTCCAGATTTCATTATAAAACGCATAACTGCTGTTCATATTCCTGTTAATCCTGGAAAAGATAAATTCGTCTGGGCGTTATCTAAAAATGGTATATTTACACTAAAAAATGCATATTCGTGGTTACTTGAAAGTTCAAGTCCTCTACAAAATCCCACCCTTCCATGGAAATATATATGGAACCTCCAAGTACACCATAGAATCAAATTTTTCATTTGGCAGTCAGTTCATCAAGCCATACCGACAGCTGGATTCCTTTTTAAAAGGAAAGTTTTACCAACAAATCTTTGCTCTTTATGTAAATCAGAACCTGGAACTATATCCCATTTATTCCTCTCATCTGCTTTGTTCAACCTGATAAGAAATATTATTTAATATATTATTTAAGTATTAATTAGTTAATATTTTATTATTAATTAATTATCATAGTATATTTATATTAGATATAGCCGTATGTTAGTTTAGGGTTAGGATGATTATTGAGTATTTTATTAGTATAGGTAATTATCTTTCCTAGTTAGAGTAGGATTCTAGGGTTTTATTATCTTTAAATAGTCGTCTTGTGCTAGGGTTTTATTATGCAGAGAGAAATATTAAAGAATAGATCTTACGTTTCGTAGGAAATATTTATGATACTCAAGAGATCGCATCAATTGGTATCAGAGCGAAGTTGCGATTAACACCAATGCTTCGTTAGCAAGGCAGCGATTATATCAAAGCTACGCTGGAGCAAAGTTGAGATTACATCAACACTTTGCAAAATTATGACGTCCGAGAGAAGACGGTTAGAGCGATTGGAAAAATCCGTGGAGAAATTACGGATTGGTATCCTAAAATTGCTCGAACAAAGTCAAGGACGGCGTCAACGCCAACATAAAAGCCGAAAGGACCGCCGCCCAACACCGCCACCACCACCGCCAAAGATGCCGAGTGTATCGCCGGAGGAAGAGGAAGAGGACAACGATGACTTTTTCGAAGAGCCCCAATTTTTTGTGAGTTCGCCGAAAGAAGAATTACCGGATTCAGTTGAAGTAATTTGGGATGAAGACGAGAAATTAACCAATGAGGAGATTGAAGAATCACTCGTCTTAAGTGAGATAATTTGGAACGAACATGAGAAGATAAGTAGCGAGGAGGACAAAGAATTAAAAATTATAGTGGAAGGATGTCACGACTTCCGGGAGAAAGGAAACGAAGAAGTGCTTGTGATTGTGAGCGAGCCAGATTCTATAAAGACAGTCGAAGAAAAAGTTACGGTGAATGTAAGAAAGACGAAACTTGAAAAGACAATTGAGGAGGTTGATTTATCGGGTAAGAGATTGAGAAATTTCGTTCGGGCAGATGGACTCATATTTGGAAAAGAGCTCGATTTTTCATCATGTTTTTCGGATTCAATCGGAAAGCATAGATGGAAACACAGAAAAGAGAGACGATTATTGGGCAGAAAACAAGGTTCATTTCAAGATAGGTGGTTTGATAAGAAATATTATTTAATATATTATATAAGTATTAATTAGTTAATATTTTATTATTAATTAATTATCATAGTATATTTATATTAGATATAGCCGTATGTTAGTTTAGGGTTAGGATGATTATTAAGTATTTTATTAGTATAGGTAATTATATTTCCTAGTTAAATTAGGATTCTAGGGTTTTATTATCTTTAAATAGTCGTCTTGTGTAGGGTTTTATTATGCAGAGAGAAATATTAAAAAATAGATCTTACGTTTCGTAGGAAATATTTATGATACTCAAGAGATCGCATCAATTTTGATACGATTTATTATTTAATATATTATTTAATTAATTGTTAGTTAGTATTTTATTATTAATTAATTAGATTAGTATATTTATAATATATATAAGGTCGTATGTTTAGGTTTAGGATATATATTAAGTATTTAATTAGTATAGGTAATTATGTTTCCTAGTTAGATTAGGATTCTAGGGTTTTATTCTCTTTAAATCAGTGCCGGCCCTGAGGCCATGCTGCACAAGCAATGGCTTTGGGCCCCACTTCCTTAGGGGGCCCCAAATAAAAAAAAAAGAACAAGGTATATATACATATATAAATAGTTTTTTGTTTTTAGTAATTTAAAATGAACCTTTTATAAATCACAATATTTAATTGGATTTTAGGGTATATTTTCAATCCCACTCAAATTAATTGCACATTTTCTGTTAAGAATTGGGAATAAAAAACAAAAAAATCCTACTGCATCAAATTAAATATTTTACTATTCATCATTAAAGGGAAAAAAAAAGAGAGAGAAATAGTTCGTCTTTTTTGTCATAACTTATGGTGCAACTCAAATAAGTTTATAAATAATAATAATAATAATAATAATAATAATAATAATAATAATAATAATAATAATAATAATAATAATAATAATAATAATAATAATAATAATAATAATAATAACAATAATAATAACAATAATAACAATAATAATAACAATAATAATAATAACAATAATCCTCATTCACTTATGTCATAATATATTTATTTTTGTTTGTTTTATCAAGTTAAATAAGTATTAATCATAAAATAATTATTTTTAAAAAATACGCTTAGGGCCTCGAAAAAGTCAGGACCGGCCCTGCTTTAAATAGTTGTATTGTCCTAGAGTTTTATTATACAGAGAAATAATAAAGAAGAGTTTCCTTACGTTTAGTAAAGAAATCTTATGATACTCAAGAGATCGTATCAATTGGTATCAGAGCGAAGTTGCGATTAACACCAACGCTTCGTTAGCAAGGCAGAGATTATATCAAAGCTAAGCTGGAGCAAAGTTGAGATCATATCAAAACTTTGTGAAAATCAAGATGTCTTGTTTGAGATCATATCAAAACTTTGTGAAAATCAAGATGTCCGAAACAAGACGGTTAGAGCGATTGGAGAAATCCGTAGAGAGATTACGGACTGATTTTCAGAAATTGTTCGAACAAAGTCACGGACGACGTCAACGCCACCACAAAAGCCGAAGGGACCACCGTGCATCACCGCCAACGCCACCGCCGCCATCACCACCACTGCCGCGGCCGCCGAGCCTATTACCGGAGAAAGAGGAAGAGGATGAAGATGACTTTTTCGAAGATCCGCCGCCGCCACCAATGCCAAGCCTATCGCAAGAGGCAGAGGAAGATGACGATGATGAATTTTTTGAAGAGGCTCAAATTTTCGTTAATGCTGCGAAAGATGAATTATCAGATTCAACCGAGATAATCTGGGACGAAGACAAGAAATTATCGAAGAAGGAGAACGAAGAATTGCATGAAATTTTGAAAGAATTTCATAATTTTAAGGAAGATCCAATTTTAAGTGCAATTGTCGAAGTACCTAACATTTTAAATCATCAATCTGTCGTGGTGCATGAGGGAGTACTGTTCGAAAAAAATTA